AAATACTATGCTGAAATTTTAATATTTTATTAATTAATATAGGTTTTGAAATTTATTTTGATATACTCATTTTTCAAAATCTGAAACTCAATCACAATGTGTTATTTTAACGATTTTAAAATGTGTTTTTGACTTCGCACTTGAAAAAAAATCCGTATGTAGCGAATATGAATGAATCGAAAAAGGAGATGGTGATGCGAGTAAAGAGAAGGAACGAAGAGAAAAAAAAGAACTTTCCTTTTGATGGCTTATTGATTTTTGCTCTTTCAAACACTTACAAATTACCACGAAGAAGAACCAGTAGGGGTGGTTAGAAAATAGTAGAAAATGACATATACATTAAATTAAGAAAAGAATAAAGGGAAATACCAACGTTTGATGAAAATTTCTTGAGGGACTTCTAAGGTATTTTAGGTAATTCTTATTTTTTATTCGTGTGCAAGAGTTATAAAAGATGTTATCACCAAATTGTATGAATAAAAGTTTTAGAGATTACATGATGTAATTGTATGTTGATGTTTATCTGATTGTGAACAGCTTAATTATATTCATTTTCGATAATTTTGGGGTGTTATCCAACATCGTGTGCGACACAAAAAACAGAAACGTTAATTTAATTAATAAACCAAAAGGAATGAGATCAACAAATATGTGGTAGACGTCATTATCATATATCATCTATCGAATGCAAAAAAACTGTAAGTCTCTAAGTGCAGATCCGAGTTATTGAGGCAGACAGCTTCATGTTTTTGCGTAACGGATTTAAAAAGCTCATTTTTTCAAAATTCAACTCATCTCTAGAATTGTGCAGGTTCATGAACCTTGACTACAATTTTTCAAGGGGTTGCAGTGAATATTTTAATAAATGAAAATTAAATTTGAGTTAAATTTGTATGAAACATTATCAAAGATTATAAGCTTTGTATAAAGATTAATAAAGATTAAAATCTATTGAAGATTATAATCTTTTTATGGAATTATTCAAATATTATAATCTGCGGGAGCCTTGATGCAAAGTAACTCATTTTACGTCAAACCTACCACTAGTTAAAATTTATAACTTCCAAGCAGGCTCCATCATCGTGAAATGGGTTACATTGTACAAAATTCGACTGGACTCAAAAAAAAATATTGTTTGAAAAAAATTTATGAGAAAAAAAAACTGAAAAATGATTAATTTTCAAGTACTCCATATGAAAATTAAAAAATAAAAATTTTTTTACAAATTTTTACAACAGGTGATAGTCCATTTTAGTGAAACAAACCAAACATGGCACCAAAAAACTGTAAAGGAATTTTTTATTTTCTTTGTGGTTTATATCTACGCATATCTTCTTCTGTTTTTTATCAGTACCAAGTTAGCACAATCGCTTCTCATTCACGTGAAAAAAAAAGTTCTCACATGCTACATACAATCGTTCAAAGCATATTCGGAAGGTATTCATGTCGTCCTGTGTGAAATATATCGATTTTTTTTAATTATTCAGTTGGTAAAAATATTTAAAAACAAATTGTTGCAAAAGAAAGATTTTCAAATCAGTTTATCAGAATTATGAGCATTTGAAACTGATTTAAAATATAGTTGTAACGATAACAAACGCGTTAATGTAAGCATTTAACCATGATCTAACCACGACTTTTAGACATTTTTTAAAAAAAAAACACTTTACAATTACGTGTCCATCAAGTAGAACGGTGACCTAACGAGTTGAGTGATGTACTATATATGGGTTTTTTGTGCTATTTTGTGAAAGCAGAAAAACAACCTCTTTGAATTTTGTGAAGATTCCAGTTCCGAGATATGAGCATTTGAAAACGGAACTAGGTCCGATTTTTCACATTCTTACTTTTTCAACTTTATCTCAAGCAAGACTAAACGAAAATTGTTGAAACTTTGCCTGTTTTATGTGCAATTGGCCCTTAATCAAATAAACTTAACAAAAATATTTTAGGTTCCATAGCTTTAAAGATATGGCAATTTTACGATTCAACCTAAGGCAAAATTAGCTACTATTTTACATTTTTGACTGTAAATCGTATAAGTTTTGATAAAGAGTGTTTAAACTTGGCCAGTAATTTGTGCAATTGACATTTAATCAAATAAACTTAACAAAAATATTTTAGGTTCGATAGCTGTAAAGATATGGCAATTTTATGATTCAACCGAAGGCAAAATTAGCTACTATTTTACATTTTTGACTGTAAATCCGGTAAATTTTGATAAAGAGTGTTTAAACTTAGCCAGTAATTTGTGCAATTGACTCTTAATCAAATAAACTTAACAAAAATATTTTAGGTTCCATAGCTTTAAAGATATGGCAATTTTACGATTCAACCTAAGGCAAAATTAGCTACTATTTTACATTTTTGACTGTAAATCGTATAAGTTTTGATAAAGAGTGTTTAAACTTGGCCAGTAATTTGTGCAATTGACATTTAATCAAATAAACTTAACAAAAATATTTTAGGTTCCATAGCTGTAAAGATATGGCAATTTTATGATTCAACCGAAGGCAAAATTAGCTACTATTTTACATTTTTGACTGTAAATCCGGTAAATTTTGATAAAGAGTGTTTAAACTTAGCCAGTAATTTGTGCAATTGACTCTTAATCAAATAAACTTAACAAAAATATTTTAGGTTCCATAGCTGTAAAGATATGGCAATTTTATGATTCAACCTAAGGCAAAATAAGCTACTATTTTACATTTTTGACTGTAAATCGTATAAGTTTTGATAAAGAGTGTTTAAACTTGGCCAGTAATTTGTGCAATTGACATTTAATCAAATAAACTTAACAAAAATATTTTAGGTTCCATAGCTGTAAAGATATGGCAATTTTATGATTCAACCGAAGGCAAAATTAGCTACTATTTTACATTTTTGACTGTAAATCCGGTAAATTTTGATAAAGAGTGTTTAAACTTAGCCAGTAATTTGTGCAATTGACTCTTAATCAAATAAACTTAACAAAAATATTTTAGGTTCCATAGCTGTAAAGATATGGCAATTTTATGATTCAACCTAAGGAAAAATAAGCTACTATTTTACATTTTTGACTGTAAATCGTATAAGTTTTGATAAAGAGTGTTTAAACTTGGCCAGTAATTTGTGCAATTGTCCTTTAATCAAATAAACTTAACAAAAATATTTTAGGTTCCATAGCTGTAAAGATATGGCAATTTTATGATTCAACCTAAGGCAAAATTAGCTACTATTTTACATTTTTGACTGTAAATCGTATAAGTTTTGATAAAGAGTGTATAAACTTGGCCAGTAATTTGTGCAATTGACCCTTAATCAAATAAACTTAACAAAAATATTTTAGGTTCCATAGCTGTAAAGATATGGCAATTTTATGATTCAACCGAAGGCAAAATTAGCTACTATTTTACATTTTTGACTGTAAATCCGGTAAATTTTGATAAAGAGTGTTTAAACTTAGCCAGTAATTTGTGCAATTGACTCTTAATCAAATAAACTTAACAAAAATATTTTAGGTTCCATAGCTGTAAAGATATGGCAATTTTATGATTCAACCTAAGGCAAAATTAGCTACTATTTTACATTTTTGACTGTAAATCGTATAAGTTTTGATAAAGAGTGTATAAACTTGGCCAGTAATTTGTGCAATTGACCCTTAATCAAATAAACTTAACAAAAATATTTTAGGTTTCATAGCTGTAAAGATATGGCAATTTTACGATTCAACCTAGGCAAAATTAGCTACAATTTTACATTTTTGACTGTAAATCGTATAAGTTTTGATAAAGAGTATATAAACTTGACCAGTAATTTGTGCAATTGTTCCTTAATCAAATAAACTTCACAAAAATATTTTAGGTTCCATAGCTGTAAAGATATGGCAATTTTACGATTCAACCTAAGGCAAAATTAGCTACAATTTTACATTTTTGACTGTAAATCGTATAAGTTTTGAAAAAGAGTATATAAACTTGACCAGTAATTTGTGCAATTGTCCCTTAATCAAATAAACTTAACAAAAATATTTTAGGTTCCATAGCTGTAAAGATATGGCAATTTTACGATTCAACCTTAGGCAAAATTAGCTACAATTTTACATTTTTGACTGTAAATCGTATAAGTTTTGATAAAGAGTGTATAAACTTGGCCAGTAATTTGTGCAATCGACTCTTAATCAAATAAACTTAACAAAATTATTTTAGGTTCGATAGCTGTAAAGATATGGCAATTTTATGATTCAACCTAAGGCAAAATTAGCTACTATTTTACATTTTTGACTGTAAATCGCATAAGTTTTGATAAAGAGTGTATAAACTTGGCCAGTAATTTGTGCAATTGACCCTTAATCAAAAAAACTTAACAACAATATTTTAGGTTCTATAGTTGTAAAGATATGGCGATTCTACTATGCTTGTATTAGCTAATTTTGTACTAGGTTGAATCATAAAATTGCCATATCTTTACAGCTATGGAACGTAAAATATTTTTGTTAAGTTTATTTGATTAAAGGTCAATTGCACAAATTACTGGCCAAGTTTAAACACTCTTTATCAAAACTTATACGATTTACAGTCAAAAATGTAAAATTGTAGCTTATTTTGCCTTAGGTTGAATCATAAAATTGCCATATCTTTACAGCTTTGGAACCTAAAATATTTTTGTTAAGTTTATTTGATTAAGGGCCAATTGCACAAATTACTGGCAAAGTTTGAACATTCTTAATCAAAATTTACCGGATTTACAGTTGAAAATGTAAGAACGAAAAGCTAGTTTTGCACTAGGCTGGAACGCAAAATGGCTATATCTATACAACTATATGACATAAAATTTTTTTGTTAAATTTATTTGATTGAGGAACATTTGCACAAATTACTGGCCAAGTTTGATCACTTTTTATCAAGATTTACCAGATTTACAGTAAAAAATATAAAAAAATAGCTAATTTAGCACTAGGTTGCATTTTAGAATCGCCATATCTTTACAACTATGGAACCTAAAATATGTTTGTTAAGTTTATTTGATTAAGGGTCAATTGCACATAAAACAGGCAAAGTTTCAACAATTTTCGTTTAGTCTTGCTTGAGATAAAGTTGAAAAAGTAAGAATGTGAAAAATCGGACCTATTTTCGTTTTCAAATGCTCATATCTCGGACCTGGAATCTTCACAAAATTCAAAGAGGTTGTTTTTCTGCTTTCACAAAATAGCACAAAAAACCCATATATAGTACATCACTCAACTCGTTAGGTCACCGTTCTACTTGATGGACACACAATTACCAGGGACGGAGTCAGGAATTTGAAGAGGGTGGACAAAATTTTTTTTTGTATGGAAACATTTTAGGGAGGTGTGGATTTTTGCGAATATTTCATTAAAACCTTAGCAAAATTAAGAAATTTCTGATGACGAAAATGGATTTGTCCCCTTGCTACGCGCCTGACACTTACATAAAATGGATCTTCAATATTTTTTTCGCGTCCTTGAATAAAATCGCCAAGCATGTGAAGTCGAGATTTTTTGTCAATTGGGGCCATTTCAAGCAATGGTTCAAGTCTAAAATTGTTTGTAATACACATTATATAAATTTGTTAGAATGAAAATTACTTTTAATAATAAAAATATACTAACTGTGAAGGTTCCATGTACAAAATATAGTCGTGCCTTGAAAAATCAAACATTTTAATCTTTAGAAAAAGAGAAGAAAAAACGAAAAATATATTGGAAATCTTTAATCAATATTACTCACATTGCTTCGTATGAAATTGACAAAAAAAAATTACAAAAGTACTCGTGTTATTGATCGAGGGACTTTAGCACATCTTTGATACAGAGATCAGTACAATTAAAAGTTTTTTTGTTCTTTAACGGTTATTTAAAATTCAAATTTTATAGTGGTCTTTTTTTAAAAGTTGAAGTGTTCTTGCTGAAATTACATTACTTGCGTTGGTTAAAATTTTTTGAAATTCAAATATTATAACGGTAAAATTACTTTTGAATTTTGTTTTTGTATATCAAATTAAAGAAATCATTAATTACAGTATAGAAACACTATTTCAACTAATACTACACTAATAAAACTAATATGATAGAACTAATAAAACAAACCCAGGACTATACTAGTCTAGTAAAGGAGATCTCAGAACCCGAGCAGCCAAGCAAAGGGAATTGTAAACTTTCCTTTTCGAAACAAATGTGAAAAATGCGCTAAAATGTGAGAACAAAACAAATCACGAAGGTCATTAACTCACTTGTCTACATCCGTGCATTGTTTCAAGATGATTTTCATTAATGACACGCAATGTTTTTTGATCTGGTAATTTTCCCTGCGATGCCTGGGGCACTTCAAGTCCAGCACTTGATGATCTCCAAATAAATTTATTAAAATTACGATTCGAATATTTATCAGCAAGATGATTAAATATTGTATCTGCTATTGGAGCTCGACATGAGTCTCGCTTTGATATAAATAAAACCTTCAATTCTTTCTTACTTCGACTACTTTGAAATATTTCAATTGACATTTCTATTCTTACAATTTGCTTTCCTACGATCTATTCAAATTGATTGATAAATGTGAACTAAAATAACGACTTTGCATTTCAATAATACGAGAAAATAAAATTACAAAAAACTACAATTTATTTTTAAAGTTTGTAATATTCAGACCCATTCAAACGATTATTTGAAAACTCTTAAGTTCGTCACTCCTTCTTTATTTTCATTTTATCTTTTCCGTCCTTTTGTGCGTTTATCGATTTTTGTAGCCGTTTATTAAAGGAAAATATTCTGAAAATCTTATTTGACATCAACTTAAACATGCGGGTATAAGCAAGAATATTAATCAAACAACTTTTTGTCTTGAATATCAATATTATTGCCAAAAGCATTTAAATTTGTTTGAGAATTATTAACCAGTTGAAAGTTTGAAATATTGTTCGAACAAATTACTATCCCGAATAGCACAAGTCAGTTTTCGATCAGTAACCATGCACCACGTCAGCGTAATTCTGGCATGGTGCTAGATTTGAATCGAAACTAATTTCATGCCAGTCATGCGGGCTTTGTGCCGGATATCTGTTCGATAAACAAATTTGTGCTTTAAAGTGAAAATAAAATAATTGTCCCTTGAATTGGAAACTGTTGAAAACCAATTAAATTAAATAATTTCACAAAAAAAACTTTGTCATTCAAATTTTACATTTATTTATTTTTATACTGTAGTTCTTCACACATCTGCCAGTTTAGCATTAAATGAGAGCTGGGATCCAGATGTTAGGTAAGATATTAATTGGTTAAAAATATTGAAAGCACAAAATATATTTATATTCGATGTTAACTGTTAATTTTTTTTCATCTCTAGAGACGATATGGAAATGATGTTAAATAAAATAGTGCCGGAAGGTCTACCGTATAGACATTCGTGTGAAGGACCCGATGATATGGTAAGCTTTGGGAAATAGCAAACCTTTGTTTTTTAAATTTAATTTTATCTTTATTAAAATAATTTTAGCCTGCTCACGTAAAAGCATGCTTTCTGGGTAGTTCTCTGACAATCCCAATAACAGATGGCAAACTATCACTTGGCACGTGGCAGGGTGTATGGCTATGTGAGCATAGAGATCATGCTGGCTCACGTAAACTAGTAATAACACTTTCCGGTTGTCCACGCGATTCAGCGCGTAGTCCTTTATCGCCTGTATCACCAATTGCAAGTACAAGCAGTTAGGGAAGGTCACGTTCAGCCCGGGAAAGTCGGTAATCTTGGGCTGAACGTTTCAGTTTATCACACAAAATCACATCACAATATAATACTTCTTCTTGTGTGTTTTCATTAAAAAAAATTTGAGACAGGATAACAAAAAAAAAAACGTAGGAAAAAATGAAAAAAATATAATTTTAAAAAAAAAACAATTAGTTTTTATTTTGTTGAGAAAGAAATAATTAATTTACATTTTCAAAAAAATACGGTTGAAAAATTATAAGCTAAAGAACTCAGTGCGTGTGAAAGTCTATTGAAATTTAACAATACTTAGAAAGATGAATGAATACTTCAAAGAAAAAATAGGAATAATAATAATGTTAGCTATGATACTATTATTACAAAAACATAAATAAAAAAAAACGTAGTAATAAAACCGGGATAAATCATGAAAGGCAGGGACCAAAATGAATGAAAAAAAATCTGTAATGAAAAACATCATTATTTTTGATGATGAAAAAAATTATGATTTTTTTCATTTACGTAAATTATTACGTAAAATTTCATCACGTAAGAATCATTTTTACGTAGGATTTCATCACGTTAAGCAAAAAATGACGTATAAAATGTTTATACAAAAGTTTTTTAAGCAAAACTCATCTATTCTATCTCCTGTTCTTATTATTTAGCATTATTAATTCATTTGTTGTGATTTTATTACATTTTTTGCTTTACGTGATGAAATCCTACGTAAAAATGATTCTTACGTGATGAAATTTTACGTAATAATTTACGTAAATGAAAAAAATCATAATTTTTTTCATCATCAAAAATAATGATGTTTTTCATCACAGATTTTTTTCATTCATTTTGATCCCTGTTGAAAGCTCTAAAGAAGAAAAACACATACTTAACAATAATTTTTGGTAAACAAAATATGTTTAATGAATGAAAAAAAAAGTGAGAAAGTTGGCACCGAATAACACACCAAAGTCAACAAGAATTAAAACTTATATTAACAATGGAAAAAAATAAATTTTTGTGTGAAAAATCCGGAAAAATCAAATATTTTAGTGGGCGAAGGAAACATTAATTTTAAGCAAAGAGGAATAACTTAACTTAACATCAAACTTAGAAATGATTTTAAAAAAATTGTTACAAGGAGTGGTGTTAATGGAAATCTCAAATAATATTCAAAATATTGGAGACCCTTTTGGTTTTCATATCAACTCTTTATAAAGGAATTTTCTTTTGAAAATATTTTTAGCACAGATTTATAATTTTCTTACTAAATCGAGGTAGTTTTGAACAATAATAATGATTTGTAAAAATTAAAAAGAGAAACTTAATTTTTTCTACTCAAAATTTGTAAATTTTATAGTAAAAAAAATAATATTATGTCCGTAAGCACCGATAAGCATGATAATTAGTAATATATAACACGCATTTAAAATTAAGAATTTCAGATGAAACATTAAAAAAACCAATAACAAGAATTTTGTGAAAACAAATATTCAATATTTGTAGTTATGAATAAATTCTCTAATGTAGTGTTGTCTAAACTTTTTGGAGCCACGGTACTCTTACGACTATAGAAAATCTTTCAACGTTCTTGAGTCAACGTTTTTTTTTTGGGAAAGCACTCTGGTCCATCTTATCTAGTGTAAAATTTACAAATTTCATAAAAACTACCTTTACTACGGCACATCAGTCTGCCACGGCACACAGTTTGGACAACACTGCTCTAATGTGCTCTAATGCTTAAAAAATTGCTATCTAGAAAATGAAAATAATATTGTTTTGAAAAAATATCGCTAACTGAAATAATAAATTATTATAATGTCAATACTAAATTTAAAAATATTTGACAAAAATATAAAAACTCAGAGCGACAGCGAGTCTAAGTTTAAAAGCGCGTTATAATGTGATGAATGATAAATTAAAATACACAGTAAAAATCATAAAAAATTGTAAATGATGTCTCAAATGCACAAAAATCGCACGATCATTAAACTTCTTTTCCGAAAATCATCAGTTTGCGTAATCAGTAAAATGATTTTTCATTTGAATATTCGTCGAAAAAAATCATATTTGGCCCAAATTTATTTATTTTTGTTTAAAACTCATTTGTTGCTAAATTCATGCAATAAAACAACAATGTGCAAAACAACATTTACAGTGTAAGGAGCATTTTATAATTATACTTACCCAAAAAAAAACCCAATAACTAGTTAATATTTAAAAAAGAGAGTTTTTTCTTCTATGTTAGATCTTCACGAAGAAATGAGAAACTATTTTTTTAATCAGCATGTAAAGTTAGTTTAGAATGCTTTTTTCTGAGATGATTTTTGCAAATCTCTTAAAAAATAATTGATATGGAATCATATATTTAAAAGAGAAAGAAAATTGTCCAGCCAAACTGCATATTTATTTACGCAGAATACAGAAGAGTCGCTTCACAAATTTTTGCAACATTATAGATTTGAATGAAAGATAAATATAGAATTAAATATAAAATATGCCATCCATCGAATATATTTGTAATTATCAGAGGAATTTCCACATCTTCGCGTCAAATTAAAATATTACAGATTTTCAATACATATAATATCTATTACCTAAACTCATAGAGAACAAGTATCCATACTTTTGGTTACTTTATTGGTAATTCAAATTGACAAACTTATGGATAAGTTTGTATGAAAAATTTTATTTTCGGCCAAAATTTTGTTTAAGACGTGTCCTATAATGTTTGGTTTATTAAATCAACAAAGATTTAAATTACCTTTTAATTTAATTAAATTAACATTTTGCCATTTTCAACTCTTATTATTATAAATTTTAAATGTTGTCTTTTAATTTCTGGGTCATTTAAATAGAAGAATATATTTTAAAATTGAATTTTGTCGATTTCATTTAACAATCAACAGGAAATCAGAAGTTAAGCTAAATTAAAATAGTTTCTAAAATTTAGATGAGTGATCAAGTGGTTAATATAAACCAAAAATCTGTTACTTTTTTTCTATGAGTAAACCTTTTATTATTTTATTCAATTTCAAATTTAATTTGATTTCTTACTTCTAAAATTTGAGAGCATCAAAATGAAAACTTTCTAACATGCTTCAAATTTAAAAAATGTTTTTTTTTCTTCTTAATTTGAAGAATCAAAATGATACTTGAATACGTACTTTTTGAAAGCATTTGCTAAGAAATTTCCATTCACCAACAAATTATCAAAAAAACTAAGAGTTAAGTTATTTTTATGGTGTCGGTGGAATAATGCAAATTTTGTAATTAGGAAAACTTGAGATACCAACTGAAATTTCTCCAATATAACTTAAGAAAAAGGGTGAAAGATACAGCAAATAGTTTATCTACATGGAACATGGAGTTATATTTGAGTTATGGAAATAAAAATGATACATACGTAGGAAATGGATGAAAAATTAATGCCCAAAAAAGTTAATGAATTTAGTGAGATTTTATTTCTCTTTACTCACAAAACTGAAGCATTTTCATTTTTGCTTTTATAAAATGACAAAATCTATTGGATCATCTGACTTTGTTCTGTAATCTTAAATCAAATATTAAAGCAATTAAATTTTCACAAATTACATTTATACAAAAGAGTAAATTGTGTAAAGATTTACAAATAATTCACTGCCATGTAATTCCCTTTTTCATCTCAAATTTTAATAAAACTGTTTTTTAAAAAAAAAACGCTTTTAAGCTTAAACAGTATAAGTGCGTTCGTTTAACTAATGGCAGAGAGAATAAATTCGCACAATACATGTTAATGAATATATAGGAGAACAAACATTTAAAACGAGTTAAAACCCCGAAAAATAATAAAAAGGTTATAAAACTATGACTATTTTTCACACATTATATAAAAATATAAATGAAAGTTGACAATATGTAAATAAAGAAAAATACGATTACTTTTATTTAGTAATTTTTTAGGTCATCCGAAAAAACTACAGATTTTATTTTGATTCTGTGTTCTATGATTTTATTACATTTTTATTTATCTTGAGCAAGGTTTAAAAAAGAAACTCTGAACAGCCAAATGTGCATGTAATAACTCTGATTTTTTAAACCTTTAAATATTTCGATCATTTTTGCTATTAATAGACACTTAAAGTTTATGCATGTTAAAGCACTGATCATAAATGATTAACTATTTTAAAGTGCATTTCTTGAAAAGATTTCTATAGCCATCACAAAAATCTCTTCTCTCCTTTCTTATCAATTTTTTTGCGCAAAATTTTTCCATGCAACTCTATTTAACACGAAAAAAAATCAAAAATAACTACCAAATGTGAAAAATAGTTACGAAAAAGATATTAGATATTTGATTGTTAATTGTTATTGATTTGATTTAAAAAAATCAGAGATCGAAGCCGATTCTTTCGGCTTAACTCAATTTTTGATTTTTTTGATAGAAAAAAGCCATTTGACACCCATTTCAAGTATTTAAATCGAACTTTACATGCTTTACTATGATTCTGTGTAATATTTTGTCAGCATGTAGCTATAGTAAGCTCAGAATTTCAATTTAGCCGATTTTAAGCCGATCGGCTTAAATTTCGGCTTAACATTCTTTAACTTGAAATTCTGAGCTCACTATAGCTACATGCTGAAAAAATATTACACAGAATCATAGTAAAGCATGTAAAGTTCAATTTAAATACTTGAAATGGGTGTCAAATGGCTTTTTTCTATCAAAAAAATCAAAAATTGAGTTAAGCCGAAAAAATCGGCTTCGATCTCTGAAAAAAATGAGATGATATTATGAAAAAAAAAATCCACGTAAAGTTCATTCACTTTCACACTCATGCAAAAAATGATAAAAACAGAAAAAAAAATTTGTATAAAGAAGGATCTTATAAGATTTAATAAAATAATATTTTAAATAAGTAGTAAATATTATATGAAATGTGTAAAAATTTAAGAAATAATGAAATTAAGAAAGAAAAGAAATGAAATAATTACTAAGTAATGAAACTCATAAGTTGATCGTGTTAAGTTTTTTTCGAGTAACAAAAAATGAGGATTAAGAATAATAAAAGATTGTGTTATCGATTACTTGCGATTATTAAGTCACCTTATTTGCCTTTTTGATAAAAAAAGAGAATAAATAATAATAATTAAAAAATCTATTAAACAAAGATCGGGAAATTTTTAAAAATGATATACTTGGGGTCCTCCATTTGAATAACAAATATATTCACAAAAATTGAAAATTTTGTGTGAATATGAAACTAATGAATAATAAATTTTAAAAAATTTGAAACAGTCTTTTTTACACAATAAAAGTAAATAATTCGATTTGAGTACATTTGTCTCTTTTTTTTTTCTTAACCAAAACACCTACTTAAATTGAGGACACCCAATATACAAATAGCAATAACCTTATCGTAACTGTATTTGTGCATGTCAAGAACTTCATAATGAATTCATTTGTACTCATACAGTATGAAAATGATGAGAAATAATTTAATAAATTAATTGGATGAT